ATAAATCAAAACCCAGAGTCTAAATTTGTACCGAAGTCTTACTGGGACGTAGAATTATCGAAGTCTGTAGCTATTCGTAGACAAGCACTGGCTAGGTTTAGACGTAACTCAACACCTCAGAATTTATCTATACTCCAAGAAAAAATTAGAGACACACAGAGGTTAATTCGTCAGGCTAAATTACGTAATTGGCAGAGGTTTTGTGATTCGGTAAATGAAAAAACAACCACTAAGGATATGTGGAAAAAGATGAGATGGATGAAAGGTTTTAGGTCACCTAATACCCACCATATAGACAAAGAAAAAGCAGAAATACTTCTTCGCAGTCTAACGCCAGATTTTGTTTCACCGGAACAGGCTACTTTCAGTTCTAGTAACATGTTACTAGAGGAAGAGGTCTCGATTCAGGAGCTTGACACATGTATTAAATTAAAGGATACATCTCCTGGATGCGATGGCATAGCATATTGTATGTTAAAACACCTTCCGTTTAAGGGCAAATGCATTTTAATCAAACTGTATAATGCTTTTCTTAACAACAGTTTCGTACCATCACAATGGCGAGATATTGGTATTATAGCAATCCCAAAGCCTGGAAGAGACATTAATGATGTATCGTCCTTGCGCCCAATATCATTTATGTCTTGCTTATGCAAAATCTTTTATTCAATTATTAAAGGGAGACTAGAATGGTTTCTGTAAAAAACAAAGTCTTTTCTTCTAATACGTTCGGTTTTAGGAGAAGCCGATCCTGCTTAGATAGTCTTAGTAGTTTGGTATCAAGGATACAAATAGGGTTTTCAGAGAATCAGCCCACGATAGGATGTTGCTTAGATTTAGACAATGCGTATAATAATGTTGACATAAATGCATTACTGTACACTTTAGATCAACTAAATATAGGGAAAAAAATTGTCAATATCTTAGTAGTTTGCTAAATGAATGACATCTCAAAATGTATGTGGATAACGTATTTATCAGTAGATTTACGGGGCAAGGGCTAGCCCAAGGAGATCCATTATCTCCTCTTTTGTTTAATATAGCTACTCTTAATGTATGTAAAAGCGTCAAGAATGTTTATATCTCTCAATATGCGGATGATTTTGTTATATGTAAAAATTGCGACAGTATCAGTAACGGAGTTATTGATATACAGTTAGCTCTGAATACTCTTACTAGTTTATTTTTTGCGTTAGGCCTAGAAATATCTTCATCGAAAAGTAAAGTATGCATATTTAAGAATGGACGCGTAAGGGAAAGCATAAATATAACGGTTAACAAAAGAAGCCTTAAAACCGTTGAAAGCGTTAAATATTTAGGGTTATGGTTAGATCGATCTCTTCGTTGGAACAAGCACATAAATGAAATAAAAGAGAAAGCCCTTAAGTTTGTAATTATTTTGAAAGTTTTAATAGGACCAGGTTGGGGAGTACACCCAGTTCAGCTACGTCGCTTATATATAGCTATTATACGTAGTAGATTGGATTATGCCAGCTTTTTATTTGATAATAGCCATAAAACACATTTAATAAAACTAGATGTAATACAAAATCAGTGTATGCGGTTAATTGGTGGGTTTGTCAAGAGCACTCCTATCCATGTAATGGAATCGGAACTGCTTTTACAGCCATTATTTATTCGGAGAAGATATTTAGCTGGTAAATTTTGTTTAAAGTGTAGGTCTATTGATGAAAATATTTTGACAAATTTATTATGTATTCTTGATGAACTTAAAAAAAGCTTTTATTGGCGACGTAGAAAAACCACACTGCTAGTTACAATCTATAGATTATTTAAAGAAACTCGTATGTTTTCAAGTCCTCACTTAGAAATGTTTTCACTCAATTCGTGGATTAGCAAATTGGATTTGTCCGATTCAATAATCCCTCAAATAGAATTTGTAAATGCACCTAAACATAAATACAATCCCCATTACCTACCAATTTTATGTCATAAATATTTAGCTGAAAACTTTACAAATTATTATAAAGTATATACTGATGGCTCTAAGGATAAAGAAGGAACGGGTGCTGCATTTTTAGACATTCAAACCAAAGAATATGTTAAGCTCTGCTTATGTAAGGAAATTTCAGTTATGCATGCGGAACTCATTGCAATTGCAGAAGCCTTATCTTATGTCAAGTCAAATATGATAAATTGTTGATATTAACAGATTCTCGCAGTGCCCTTCAACATTTAAAGAAATGTACTTCATTGTTTCGCGGTTTTCCATTGGCTTACGACATATTAAGTAATATTGTAACGTTAAAATCTAACAACAAAAGCATTGTCTTACAATGGGTGCCTTCCCATATTGGCTTAGAGGGAAATGAGGCAGTAGACGTTCTTGCTAAGGAGGCAATAAGTGATGGGGAGAATACCGACTGTGTACCTTATTACTCTGAACTTCTATCTAAAGTTCGTGAAAACTGTACAGAAAAGTGGTCCGAATACTTTGATGAAAGGTCACTGTCAAAAGGTATTTGGTACAAGACGGTACAACCGCATCTTTCCCGCTTGCTTTGGTTTGAAGGATGCAATATGGGAAGGCAAGAGATCATTACAGTAATGAGGCTTCGTTCCGGACATGTACCATTAAACAAATTTGCGTTTGTAATGAGAAAAGTAAATTCACCAAATTGTGACAAATGTGGAGTTGTGGAAGATGTTATTCACATTACGATGGAATGTGAACGGAACGAAGCATATAGAAAGCAATTGGGTTTGGATAAAAATAGTGTCCTAGTATCCTAGCTTTTCCATTGTCGGATAAAGCTAGGAAACTTTATAAACTTGTTTTACTAGGTATTAAGAATAGGTGATCTTTTGTTTACGTTTAATTTATCATTGTCTGATTATGTGTTTGGTTGTGTACTATGGTGACTTGATCTAGTAGATCTAACCCTCTATAATAAATAAGGATTAAAAAAAATTACATTTAGCAGTCAATAGTCATTCAGAGACGAGCCGCCGGAGTGACAAGGTTTGTGATATATTATATCGATACGCTTGTTTACTTTAAATAAATATTGTTATTATCTTGATTAATTCTTTTTATTTAGAATTCAAGTTTGAGGTACCCTTACAGTAGTAACTAAAGTAGAACGTAGTGCATTTATTAAAACTTATAATTGTGACTTGTTCCATATTTAGACCAAGCAGTTATATTCTACTACCCTAATACAAATGTGGAACTTTCATTAGTTTGTAAAGAACAATTGAAGTAAAAATAAGGAATAAGTTATTTGAAGTTACTAATTGTACTACCTTCAATTACAACTTTTGACATTTGGTCATGATTCCTGTTATGCAAATGACGTTTTTTTAACAATCACTGAAACCAATACGTATTTTGTGTGTTTTTTCCTTCTTTTATCCGCCCCTAAAAGTTCACTGCTGAACATGGACCTTTTCCTTTGATCCAAACTTTAGTATCTTTGTAGGCGCAAGCGTTATGTTATATCAAGCGAAAAGTAATAATATTTTTGTGGAATTTCCCATAACACTACTTACGATACCCATAGGACGATTTTGTTATATTTTATTACATAAAAATACAGTCGGTTGTTTCTTAATATTTTCGCCAAGCAGAATTTAATTTTGTTTGTAAATACATCTTCCACTAACATTCTATGTACACTTCTATAATTAATATCCTAATCTTGGATTTAACTAAAAATAGAAACATTAAACTTAAACATGCTATTTGCATAATACATTATCTTTAAACTTATTAATAAATAGACATATAAATATTAATTGTAATAATAATTTTTACTTTTATATTAACTATAATTACACGTGGACACATTTTTACATACATTTATGAAAACGTAGTGTACGTACACAAAAATAAACTTAGTTTTGAAAGAATAAGTGATATTCATTCTGTAAATACTAGGAACAGACACAAGCTAGTTGTACCAGTTACTCGACTCCACCAAGTCAGTAATTCATTCTTGGGGCGATGTATACGCTTTTACAACAAAATCCCAGAAAATATACAAAATTTGTCATACGCAAAGTTCAAAAATTTTACTAAATTAAGGTTGTATTATAAGAGTTATTATAATATTAAGGAATTTATGGATGATAAAAATCCCTGGGAAGCGTGATCGCTACCAAGCTATTTCTAATTTGTCTTGTGTTGGTAATTGTAAACATGATTGTAAGTCATTATTTGAAAAAAAAAAAAAATTTTTTTCAAATAATGATTTTTTTGCGAACCAGTAGTAAATGAAAAAAATGACTTTCAATAAGTATTGTTTATAATCTACATTGAATAAAAAATTTTCTGTTTCTGTTTCACGTATAATTATCCAGCAACCACGCTTTGGGCGGTGGGCATGGGGCGATGAAGTCACTTACACCGCCACCACACGAAAATTTATTTGTTCTTATGTTAAAAATATTTCATTCAATACAGAAGACAGGTATCGGACGTGTTATTGTCAGCTCCGTAGTTTTATTTTGATATTCGTGGTTAAAGTTCTAAAACGTCATCGAGTCGTATATAATTCGTAGCATAATTCCTCGGCCTTGTGTTAATATATAAATTGTGTCCGTTCTTAAAAACTGTGAGTGCTATAAATGATTTTATTTCAAGACTAGCCCTGTGATATTGATTATAAGTGGGTTGTGTATAGATTTGGTGGACAATATATTATGATTAAATACCCACTACAATAAAAAATCTCGCATCTATATTACGATACAGATCAACATTTTCGTGAAGTTAAATCAAAGTGCTTTGGCGCAGAGGTCTGTTATAATATCTGGAAACCGTGGTTCGGTTCTCACATTGTCATTTGTCTTTTTGTTCTTGTTTTTTTTTTCTTTTTTCCAAACAAATTATTTTAATTTATTTTTGGTTTTGTTAGTTCAAATAAAAGTCGAGGTTCGATCGCCAGCTAATGTTAACATAAAAAAGAAAAAAAAAACATTTACGCAATTAGCCACTTTAAAAATTATACTTTATTATTGCATTTACGTATACCACAATGGAAAACAAACATCTTTGTATTGCCTGCAAAGATTTGCCACCACCTCCTAGTGAAAGAGAAAAGTGTTTATGTATGCACTGTAGGCAAGAATACCATTTAAAATGTTTGAATATGGATAAGACTGCTTTCTTTAAATTAGACGGTCAAACTAAATCTAAATGGAAATGCCCAACTTGCTTTAATGTAACAAATCGACGCAAGGGAGATATTTCGAATACACCAGTTAGAAAATCAGTGCCATTTAATGATTCAATAATGTCCTGCGACGACTCTCTTTCTGTTGAACACTCGGAAACTTCACTAGATCCTAAACCATCAACTTCTATGTGCCCTTTTCTAGGACAAGAAGTTACATTAGAGAGTATAGCCAGACTTCTAGATATGAAACTCGATGTTAAATTAGATGAAAAATTTGAATCACTCAAAAAATCATTCTATGTTAATATGAAATCATTAATCAAAACGGAGATTGTTACAGCCATTGATCAAGTCAAAATTGAATTTACCGAAACTACAGACTTTCTACATCAGGGGCAAAAAGAACTCAAGTCAAATATTGAATCTGCTGAAATAAAAGTCAAGGCACTAGAAAGAACAAATGCCGATCTAACAAACAAAATGAGTATACTGCATCGTCGTTTGGAATCCATGGAAAAAATTTCCCGCAGTCACAACGTGGAGATTCAAGCAGTCCCCGAAAAACGGAATGAAAATATTTTGACGATTGTCAAAAATATTTACTCTACAGTAAAACTACCAACGACAGACGCTGAAATTAGTATGTGTCGAAGGGTTGCTAAATTGCCGACCACATCAGCCCAACGCCCGCGTAATATTTTGCTTTCGCTGCCTTCCATTCGCCATCGTGATAATCTTCTGTCGGCGGTCAAACGTTATAATAAGGCTAACCCTGGCAACACATTAAGCTCTGTACATTTAGGAATTCAAGGGGACATATGCCCAATTTATGTTTCCGAACATCTCTCTCCAGAAACCAAGGAGCTTTTTGCTTTGACACGGGCTACTGCTCGTGGAAAATATAAATACGTGTGGGTCAAATTCGGGAATATATATGTGAGAAAAGATGATAATTCTTCAGCAGTACATATAAAAAACAAAGATTGCTTGGCTAAAATTAGTTAATTGATTTGTGTTGTAGTAACTCACTTTTTGTTTTTGTTTATTTTGCGTTTAAGTTTTGTATTTTTCTTTTGTCTTGAATGTTAATGTACTATCAAAATGTTAATCGTATGCGTTCCAAAACACATCAGCTGTATACAAATATACTAAATAATGAATATGATATTATTTGCTTAACCGAAACTAACTTAGATGAAGGTATCTTTAATGAAGAATTATTTGATGAGCGTTATAATGTATTCAGACGGGACAGAGGGGAATGCGCTTATGGCGGACGAAAAGACGAGGGAGGAGGTGTGATCTTGGCCATAAAAAAATGTTTTACTGTTACTCGTAGGCAATTTTGGGACAGTAACTTTGAGGATATTTGGGTTTCACTTATTTCTACAAATTGTTTGTCATTAAATATCTGTGTTTGTTATCTTCCACCTTATCTTCCATCGGACGATATCAATAAACTTATGAAACACTATCAAAGTATCATACTTAGCAATGCCCATTCTGGACATTTCTTATTGGTAGGCGATTTTAACCTTCCTGACATAGACTGGAAGATCTCTAATTTAGAATTTCGTTTAATTCCAAATGCTTCTGCTGGCACTAAGGGCCGTTTTCTTTTAAATACTATGGCATTATGTGATCTGAAACAATATAATAATTCCAAAAATCAGAATGATCGTCTACTTGATCTCGTATTATCAACTATGGACGAACTAAGAGTAAAAGAAGTAGAACCATTACTGAAACTGGACGGTCATCATCCATCTATAGAAATTAATCTTAGTTATACAAATAATAAACCAAATCTTGTTAAATTTAATCGTAAACTTTTGAAACCAAATTATCATAAATGTAATTTTGAAAAAATTAAAGACCATTTAAGAAAAGTTAATTGGCATGAACTGTTAAATGACTTGGACCCTGATAGTGCTGTTGATGCTATGTATAAAGAACTTAATTCAGCTATTTTGCTGTTTGTACCATTTAAAAAATGTAATCCTAACCAATACCCATACTGGTTTAACTTTCCTCTAATTCGTTGCCTTCGAGATAAGAAAAAGTATCATAAGTTGTATAAAAAATTTGGTAATCCGAGGGATTATGATACATACAATATGCTGAGAACTCGTAGTAAACACTTAATTGAAGCCTGCTACAAATCGATTCAAAATTAAGTTGAGAATAGTTTAGGTAAAAACGTTAAACATTTCTTTAAGTTCGTTAATAACAAAAAATCAAGTAAAGGTATCCCTGATTCTATGACTCATGGTGCTAAAACTGCTACAGATCCCCAAGGAATCTGTGAACTTTTTTCAGCGTATTTTGTTTCTGTTTATGAAATACCTGACAACTGTGAACCCGAATTTAATATACCGGACAGGTCTAATCTTACACTATCAAATATATGCATTAGTAGAGATGACATTATTAGAAAGATTAAAACACTAGAGACTCACAAAGGTCCGGGTCCCGATGGAATTCCATCATTATTTGTTAAGGCGTGTTGTGAAGAACTTAGTTTGCCGTTATTTATAATTTTCAATAAGTCTATTAAGAGCGGCTTATTCCCTTCTGTTTGGAAAAATGCCTACGTAATTCCAATTCATAAGTCTGGTGATAAAACAAAATGTGAAAACTATAGGCCAATTAGCATCTTATCCTGTATGGCTAAAATTTTTGATTCGTTGGCTTATGAACATATTTACAACCACGTCAAACAAAGCGTATCAAACTTACAACATGGTTTTGTTACTGGTAGATCAACCGTTAGTAATTTACTTGTCTACAAAAATTACATTTGTCAAGCGTTTGCTACCCAACGCCAAGTAGACTCGATTTATACTGACTTTTCAAAGGCGTTTGACAAAGTCAACCATAGAATACTCGCGGCTAAATTATCAGCATACGGGATACATGGCAATCTATTGCGTTGGATAATTTCGTATCTTTCTAGACGTAGTCAGATCGTTGCAATAAAAGGTTTCCTCTCCAAACCAGTACATGTAACATCCGGGGTTCCTCAAGGGTCCCATCTTGGCCCTCTTTTGTTTATTATATTTATTAATGACTTGGTAGACCATATCACAAGTGAATGTTTACTATATGCAGACGATATGAAAGTTTTCCGTATAATCGATGATGTTAATGACTGCCTCTTGTTGCAACGGGACCTTAACAATATTTATACCTGGTGTTCTCATAATAAAATGCATTTGAATGTTAGTAAATGTTTTTTTATAACTTTCACAACTAAGAAAACTCGTCTAAAGTATACATACCATATCAATGATCAACCTTTGTCTGAAAGTAATGTTGCCAAAGATTTGGGCGTTATCTTTGACTCAAAACTAGATTTTAAGCAACATTTTAATCAGTTAACGCAACGTGGTTATCAGTTAGTTGGTTTTGTTACACGAGTTATGAAGGAATTCAAGAGACCCCTTAGTCTAATATATCTTTTTAACACCCTTGTAAGACCGATTCTTGAATACGCCTCAGTAGTCTGGTCACCCTATTACGAAGTACATATAACTAATATTGAACGAGTCCAGAGATGTTTTTCTGCGGAGCTTATGTCGTAAACATGGATTGATCCGCCAGTTGCCATCCTATAATGAAAGAGTGAATTACTTTGGAGTTACGAAATTAGATAAACGTAGACAATATTTTGAGCTTATTTACCTTCACAAAATCATACACTCCTCCATCGATTGCCCAGAATTAATTAATTTAATTAATTTTAACAGTCGATCCCGTCTGCGTAACCCGCGTATCTTTCGCCTTGATGTTTACAGAAATAACACGTCTTTTTTTTAATCCGGTCATTCGAATGTGTCGAAATTTTGACGAGCTGAGACATCGTAACGCTGATCTGGACATTTTTAATTCTAATATTTCACAATTTAGAAGATCTATAGTTGCTACGTTAAGTATGTAAAATCACGAATATCATTAAAAAAAAGTTCTTTTTTTAACTGTTATTAGTACCATGTATTATTTTTTTTTCGGTCATACTTGTCATATTTTGTTTTGCTGTGCGCACTTTATTGGATTATAGACTAGTTATAATATTTTTGTTACTGTAAATGTGTTTTGTATTGTCTTAAATCTGTTTGTGTGCCTTATTAATAAAATAAAATAAAATAAAAAAACGACAGCCCAACGAATTGATAAGCTAAAGTAGCTATGGGCCAGTAATACAGCGGTAGGCGTAGTGTAGGATGACCCCCCACTAGATGGAGTCACGACCTGGTAAGATATGCTGGAAGTCGATGGATGCAGGTGGCTCAGGACCGTGCTTTGTGGCATTATTTGGGGGAGGCCCATGTTCAGCAGTGAACCTGTGGAGGGCTGTAATGATGATGATGATGATGTTTAAAAATAAAATTGATGTTTTCGGTACTAATATTTTTCTTAATCGTTTTACACGAAACTCATGAGACGAGTTGGGGTAGATTCTTTTACATCCGGACGGGTTCCCGTCTTGTCTAATGGGAGACTTAGTAGCCGTTGCTGTCGGTATAGCGGGACACCGCTCTTCTTACCCTGCGCGGCCTAAACTTGGTCAGGAAAGCTGGTGCTTCCGATTACTCGTTTTTTCTTGGCCGCCTATTGGGCTCGAGTAGGACTGTTGCGTAGGAGGAATTGTGGGCTGTGGAGAAAGACGCATATAGTGTTTCTAGTGCGCCTTTCCTGAGGAGGAAAAAGGGGAGAAGAAGTCCTATCCCGAGAAGGGGCCTCTATGGGACGGCCGGCGCTGGTGGGGCCGTGGAAGTGTGCAAAAACGTTCCCGTGGCCCTGTCAATATGCGGCGCAAGTGGAATACTAAGCGGTTTTGATCGGTGAAGTCCGACATATCCCTTCTTTTCCCCAGTGAGGCGGGCATATGTAGGCTTTTACCCATGTAAAAACAAAAATTCTCTTACGACATTATACGGCTTAATTGAGTTACTAATATTATCATGAGTTCTCATTATTATATTTAGCTGTCCCTACAAAGCCTTGTACCCCAGATTCAGATCTCTGTATTCGAAAAGCTATAAAATACACTTGGCCTCTGTAGAAAGATCACAAATCAACCTCCACACTCACATAAAATACCTCACTCAATAACGTAAACTTTAAAACATTATTGGCTATGTACTTAATTTTTTTTAAATTTCATTTTATCCTGTGTCATGAAGGTGGATTAAGGAAGGACGAAGGAAAATTCATAATGACACACATTCAGATCCAAAACAATAACTTTCAATTCATAGACATTACCCACACTTGTTTCGTGCGGAATTCGTACCAGAAACTTGCAACGTAGTGGCCAAATGCTTTACCACTGCGCTACGAAGATTTCGGATTATTGTATCTTTAGAAATTTAAGTCTTGCTACAAAATTACATGCAAATTGTGTTCCGATCAAGAATCAAGTCGCTCTCAATGATGGATAAAACCGATTTAAGCCGGTTTAAACCGGATTGCACAACACCGTGGCGGAGGCGTTCATTTATTATGTAAATACGCGACACATTCTATCCAATGGGGTATTTCATTTGACAAACGGTCGGTTTGTTAGATATATTACCGTGTTTGTTTGTTTCCTTTACGGTATTCGTTGTTGCTTCGTACTCATTGGGTCTTTTTCGGCCACTACGAAAGTATACTTTATCTAACAGCTAAGTAGAAAATCAGCTAAATTGGTTAACTATGCTGGATTTTTTAATAAAGAATTTGTTTATTTTACATTCTTGTTCCTAGAAAAATTGCAAAATAATTCAACTTCATCTTCATCAGCACGTTGAAGTGCACGGTTAGACATGGGACCTCTTACATCGTTGGAAGGATGTGGATCGATCATCACGCCTGGCATGCGGAATGCAGTACCAGATCTCTCGATCCTTGGTGGTTACTCTCAGTTATTGGTCATGGTATTTTACACCTGGCGTACAGAGATGGTTTTACCGCCATCAAGCGGAATCGGTCTATTTGTAATTTCTCGTAGTCGCCTTTTA